TATTAAATTTTTTTAAATGATAAAATTAATGAATAGTGAGGATGGAAGAAATGAAAAAAAAATGAAAAGAAAAAAAGTGAAGAGAATCCTCTCCCCCCTTTCACTGGATCTAGCTTCTCTCTATTTTTTTTATTTTCTCTTTACTTTTCATCTCAATTATTAAATTTATTTTTTAATAATTGAGATTTGATACTTCATAAATTTATTATTAAAAAATAAAAATAAATATAATAATAATTTTATAAAATATTAAATTTCAATTATTAAAAAATAAATATAATAACTGAGGGAGAAAGTGAGAAAAAAAAAATAATGAAAAAAGAAAGAAGTGGGGAGAAGCTAACCCTCAGCCCCTGTTCTAGAACTTTGGTGTCGTGCACATGATGCATTCATTCCCCACAGCCACCGTGCATTTCCATGTTCCAACGAAATGCTCGTCACCACCAATGCCCAATCATCTTTTTTTTTTTTAATCGTCTTTTTTATTTTGCCCACCAATTCGAAAGTTGACTGTTCTCTTTCAACATCTTCAAATCTATATAGATTGATGCCTCTCTATTCAAAGCTGATAATACTTTAGTTGAATTCTTCTACACCACCACCATTACCACAAAAGAAACAAAATTCCTGGTTAATTTTCTTCTCTTTTTTTAAGATTAGTTTACCCGCCTCAATTTAAATTATTTTCTATAATTAATTTATACCAATGTCATGAACAAGAACAACCTGGAAAACCCATACTCCATTTCAAAATATTATTTTGCTTCAGGTCTGGTTTTGCTTCCAAATATATGTCACTACAATCTTAACAAGGTCGTATTAATTAATTTTTAACCATTTGATCCTCTGTTAAAAAAAAAATGATGACAAGACAGTGAAATGAAAACACGGGGCATGAAATTTAATTATTCGTGTTTGCAGCCCGAACCCACCTTAAATCCAGATTAAGCAGAGTCTAATAATATCATTATGGAATTTAAATAATTTAACAACTTTTCTTAATTTATGTGTATAACTTCAAAAATAAATATTTATTTTTGAAAAAAAGTTTAGGTGGTTAGTATTTGATAAGATCACTTGCATTATATTAAAGGTGCTTGTTTCAACTGATCAAAAGAATTAAATTAACTTATTTTAAGGTCTCTAATTTGAGTTTTAAGATATGCATCCATATTAAATAATTATGTTAAAAATTTCATAAGGCTATCATTAATAATAATAATGATTTTATACAGTAAAAGTTTAGATTCATTTTAGATAGAATGTGATAGTGCCCTCATTCTGCGGATACTGAGCATTGGGATAAAAATAAAAAGTCACTTACATCGTTGTCAAAGAGGATTTACACGTATATTTACATATACTACTCATCATGCAGAGTTTGACCATGGCCGTAAAATTCCAACTCCGGATAAATAATTGAAACATACAAAGCAAAACGTTAACGGCTTGAAGCATTCAATGGTTGTCAAAAAGGATTTACACGTATATTTACAATTTTTTAATTTAAATTGAGCCATCAATAGCTTCAATTAATAGTTTGGTCATCTGATTCAATTTAATTTTTAAATTATTGTTAAAGAAGCTTTCTTTTTAAGCTAAGAAATAAAGGTTGAGTTTAAAAGCTCCCTTTAAATAAGAATTTAGGTTTCAAAAATTAATATTTTTTGTAAAACTGGGCTTTTAGGCCTGATCCTAATAAATCCTAAAAAAAGGATTCAGGCTTGAATGGCTCTCTGAACCCTATTTTTTAAAAAATTAATTATTTTTCAAGTATTATGTTGTCAAGACAATTAATGTTGGTTTTTTTGTCATTTATTTTAACACAATATTGACAAATTTTTTATTAATTTCTTAAACATAATTACTTTGTAAGGTCTTGTTAACATCTAGAATTTTATATCATTTCATTATATTTTTCTTAGATTTTAATATATTTTGGTTCAATTATATATATTTTGGATTGCACAAATTAAGAAATGTGCATTTTGTTTTGAGTTTGCATACTTGCTTTAATTTGATATTTTTGAACCTAATTCGTGTTATTTTGGTTTAAAATTTGATTATATGCGTTTTTTGACTTTCATTTATGCTTTTGGAAGACTTTTAGATGAAAAAATCATATGCAAAAAGAATAAATTTTGTTAATTGTAAAAACAATTCAAAACTGTCAAAGTTGTTAAAAAGTCATGACTTTAGTTCGCGACTTTTCTCGCTATCAAAAAATGCTGCGTTTTATTTATCTAAATTGGTTGGATAGGAAGTATATATGTTGAGAGCTCAACCTAGAATGCATTCTACTCACTTTTAGACATATTTGGAGTTTGCTTGTATCAGGGTTTGGGCATTGAAAGTGCTTGAAGGAAGGAAATGAAATTTTGAAGTTGAAGCTCATTTTCTTTGGTTTTTTTTATCCCTCTTCCCTTTTCTATCTTGTAATCTAAAATAGATCCAATTATTTTGTATATTTGTAATTTGTGAATGATTATGAATAGCTAAACTCTTTATTTTAGAATTATTTGAAACCCTTGTATGGATTAACACTAAGTTTCTTCTCTTTTTGCAATTAATGACATATGTGTATTTATTTTACTCTTTTATTAATGCTTTGAAGTGATTGACCACCATTTAGATGTTGGGTTCATTTAATTGATGCTTGAAAGGGCTAAGTTGAATGTAAAATTTGAATAAAATAGTGTAAAAATTTGATATTTGCATGTTGAATAGATGGTTTTGCTAGTAAGATAGAGATATACTTATTAGCTCTGTATAGCCACATTAATGTTGGTATTTAAAATTAAGTTTTATTAATTATAATAAAATATTGGGCAATTAATCTAACTAAACACTTGTTCTGACTTGAGAGAGCTTGTCCGAGTTTTTTTAAAACTTTAAATTAACACTTATTTTTATTAAAAGCATTTATGAGATGAGGTAATTTTGGTGTTATGAAATACAAGGAGGATAAATAATTATAGGTCCCAAATTATGTTTGAAGTGTGTAAATCAATTACTTTTCTTTATTTACTAGTGTTAATTTAGCTTGCTAAATCAAACATCACCTACTTACGTTTTGACTCAACTTAATTCAATTTGCTTAATCTTTTTTTTTAATCACTATTTTTAAACAAATTTTTAAGGGAACAATGCTTTACTCTTACTTTATTACTTGTTACGACTCGTACACTTGCGGTGAGCAATAAGTCTATATCCTCATTTTGATTAATGTTGTACTTTATAATACATAAATTTTTGTATTTATCAGACTTCATAAAGTTAATTTAAATTAAAAATTTTTATTTTCATTTTAAAATTTAATAAAAATTTTATATCCGTATTTATATTTATTTTTTAAATTATTTTAAAATAAAATGAGCTTACGAGTTGATCCTAAACCTTTTAAATAAAAATTGAACTTAAAAAATGAACTATTTTATGATAAATGGGGCTCAAGGGCATAAGCCCTGCATTTTCCTACCTCTATTCCTCTCACTTCAAGTCTGAGGTCAGAGAATATCATTTTGTAATTAACAACAGAACGAGAAATAGAGGAAAGCAAGAGGAAGACCCAAGAGCTGAAGGCCAACGCCAATTCAGAGACTCTTGGCTGGGTATCTGCCACGTGTGAGGCTTAACATTTCTTAATTACTCCCAATTACTGATTAATTAATTCGCCAAATGGGGGCTGCCATACGTACATTAAATTAATACTCCGAAATTGTTGCTGTTAGTCAACAAACGAAGAAGCTCAGGCATCACACATCAAATCATACTTTAAGAATTGCATGTTTCAAAGGAACTCGCGAGATATTCTATTTCTCGTTCATTACATTTTCTGTTAGTTCCCAGATATGACAATCTCATAAAATTGAAGAAACAAGCAACTCTAATGCAGATTTTGTTTCCTAATCTGTCACGGATTTAGCGAAACAATCATGCCAGCACTCTTGGGAAAGAAAAATATCATCGAAGTACACGAGATAAATGGCACAGATGCATGCACAGTTTGCAATATTCGATGCCTTTTTCCCCCCCTGCTTTTCACATCAAATTCAATGCTTACTATAGTTACATTATACTTATCTGAAAACTTGCTGTTATAAAGAAATATAATCAGTATCAGTATTAGAATGTCAGCCATGTGCAGCTTTCTGGAATCGAGCATTATGTTATGAACAGAGTGACGTTTCGTTTAATTTGCCAATCGAGCTGAGCTCATTCCATTCAAAGGATGAAAGCGCAACTCGAGAACTTGTAACCACTTCTCAAAACATTAGCTCAGGATCATGAACGAATTGTTCGTGTTTTATGTAATATTAAAATAAAAACCTATAAACATAGTTAAAAGACAAAATAAAATTTAAGAACATTTCAAATATAATATTTTTTTTATATGATTATGACCAAAATGATTATAATTCAACTTCTAGCAACGCTGGCTGGGAGGTCAAATACAATCTCTCCTCATAATTACATCATTCCATCACATGACCTACAGACGATGGACGAGTCAAGGAGAAGAAGCGTTGGCGTGTACATGTATCACGTTTCAACCCAAATGCCAAGGCTTGGTTCAGGGTTGGACAAGGAAATGGTCAACTGATACACAGCAGGCTAGTTATGCCGCTTTGATTTCCCCTCATTTTGTGATATGCTTGGAATAGTGGCCAGCGTGAGATTGTACCACAAGGCAATGAAAAGATTGACGCGCGGAGCGGAAAAATAGAAGATGCCCCAAATCAATCACAGAGAAATTAATGGGCAAAACAAGTGGGTTGCAGCAGCAAACGCACACGAGAGAGAAAATCTGACACACACACACTAACACTAACAAGACAAGTTGCTATTAAGTGGCCCAGCAAGCATTCACTCACTTCAATAAATAATAATTTCTCACGTTCACAACCCCCCTTCCAGAGAAAGAAAAAAAGCCTCATGTCCCTCTTTACTCTTTTTCTTCTTCTCCCCCCTCTTATCTTAATAAAACCAATTAAACCTCTCGTTTAAGTAGGGTTTTCAGTCTGATTTGCATATATCCGAACTGAAGCCGCTTAATCGTAGCAATTTTCAAGGTTGCAGGAAGATTCTTATAAGGCAAGGAGGCGTCTGTCTATAGTTTGTAACTCCCATCTCATTCTTCAAGGGGGGAAAAAAACCATTGATTATGAGGAAGTTGGGTTAGGGTTTGATGGAGAGAGTAGTTGAGAAGGGCAATAATTAAGAACTGGATTGGATTTGAGATGACAAACATGACCTTTGTCGGTTCCGCAGCACCTACTCCTCCAGCGCAGTCATCACTAGTTCTGAGCGCAACCAACCCACATGTGTTGTTCCTTTCATAGTTTGGTTTTTACGGGGTTTGATGGGTGGTGGGAAACAACATTCTTCTCGGCCCTTTTAAGTTTTAGGTTCCCACCTTGTATTGTCATCTTTTTTTTTTTTTTTTGCATGCCCCTCTTTTCTGATCAACTAAGATTGAGACTCTTTCGTGATCGGTGCTTAATTAGAAAGCCTTTTCAGGTGCTCTTGTTTCTATCCCTCTTACGCTCTTGCTGGTGCAATCAAGTTCCTATAGCTGGCTTCAAATCTACAGTCATATTCTGGCTTACCGGTGAGTCTTACATAGGTTCTCAAAGGGAAGGGACCCATCTCATGGCCTTATGTCAATAGATTCCCACCAGCTTACCCTTTTTTCTCTTCTTTTGTTTCTGAATTTATTTATTTTTAAAATATCAAAACACTTACTTCCAGCACCACCATAGGAACAGATTGATCACTAAAACACGGCTCCTTGAGAAAATTTAGCACTTGGAATGTCAATATCGGAATAAGGAAAAGGAAAGAATATATTTAGGGGCGCCTACAATAATATCTTCGAGTATGACTGCTCTTCCGCTAGATTAGGACGAGTTGGGGGGTTGATCAGGTTGCACAGGAAGACCCACACCACCATATAATTAAAGCAAAATCGCAAAGAAAATGAGCATGCTTTAGGATAATATTATACCAAATCATATATAATCTAGATCTAGGCCTTCATTAGAACTCAGATTTGATGGAACTGAGTGGCTTAGATAAGGAAATAGAGATGCCATTACCAACCACTTCAGGTTGTAATCCCTCCAACAGGGACTCATCTTCTTCTCCAACTCTAGCTTCAACAGTAGGGGAGACGAGTAGTGATCAACCCCTTCAAACTTCAGACCACTATCATCCTCATCATCCTCCTTCTCTGCCATCGAACCCACTCCAGCAATTTCAGAGAAACACAAGAGATCCAGATCCGCCGAGCGTAACAGCGATCACACCAATTGCTAGCAGATCAAACCCAAGACCAGCAACAGGGACTACAGTAAGGTACAGAGAATGCTTGAAGAATCATGCGGCGAGCATGGGGGGACACATCGTGGACGGATGCGGCGAGTTCATGCCAAGCGGAGAAGGCACTCCGCAATCCTTGATATGTGCTGCTTGTGACTGCCACCGGAATTTTCACCGGAAAGAGACCGAAGGTGAACTTCAAACTAATGTCCTCAATTACTACGCCTGCCCTCCCTGCAAAAGCAATAACGCGCAAAGTAGGATTCTTTCTCCCCAGTTTGCGCCACTCCCTCCTTCTCTACATCATCATCAACATATGAGATTTGCAGGAGGGCCGTTCCCGCCATTTATGATGGCCTTCGGCGGCGGCAGCGGGGCGGCGGAGTCTTCGAGTGAAGATCTGAACATGTTTCAGTATAATGATGCGGGCGGGCAAGGGTCAGTACAGCCGGTACCGTCATCGAAGAAGAGGTTTAGGACCAAGTTCAGCCAGCAGCAGAAGGATAGGATGATGGAGTTTGCGGAGAAGTTGGGATGGAGGATCCAGAAACATGACGAGCAAGAAGTGCAGCAGTTTTGCAATCAAGTGGGTGTGAAGCGGCAGGTCTTCAAGGTTTGGATACACAATAACAAGCAGGCCATGAAGAAGCACCAAATGTAAGCAATCTAAGGCTGGGCTTCATCTTCATCTCCTGTCATTTGATATATAACATTTTCTTTTACCTGTTTTAAGAAGACAACCAGATTTTATGACCAGCGAATAAGTAGATTAAGTCCGCAAACTCCGGTGGTAGAGGGGCTATGATCTAGATATACATGTCGCGAAAACACCACTTATAACTTTTCGATTTTTCTGACTTCCCCATCTCTATGTTATTTGCAGCACAATCCTGTTATTCAGCCTGCAATCTTTGTTTTTTTTTTTTAATGCTGTGTGCATATTCATGTTGTTGAGAGCAACTACAATCTGGACGCTAGAGCAAAAAACCTAGAGAATCAGCAAGAAATTAGGATGACAACTCTAGGTCGTAGTCGTACGTAGGGATCGATGCAGTCATAACTTAAGCTGACGATTCTTAGGTTAGCAGCGATGTGTAATTTCTTGTATAATAATGGCTTAAATGAAGAGCGTTGTCCCAATCAGGCCAACCCCTCAAATCATGGAAACATCGGTCCGTGGAACCTATTCACTTTCTTGCTAACGAGAGTTATGAAGGCTGTCCCTGAGCGAGATAGGATTCCACCCAACCACACAATCTTTGTCCTCTCCCCTCTTGTTGGACACCGACACATGAATTAGCAGACAATATTATACCCCGCTCTTTTCTCACCATGTCTTTTTCAGCTATCGATTGTGTTTTGTCTTCGTTCTACACCAGCGAACCGGGGAGATAATAGTCCCAATAATAATAATAATAATAATAATAATAATAATGATAAACGAAAAACAGATAGACGAGGGAAGTAGTTTTTTCTCGCTTTAGATGTTTTTTATTCTGTATCCAGGAGACACCCATGAAGTCAAATACTTCTTGAACGAAGTGGTATATATGAAATTGGAGAAATAGTATGAATTAGATAGAATTGCGGCCAAAGCGAAAGCAAAAAAAGTATAACCAATATAATGATGGGGTAGACCCCAAAGATTTAAGAAGCCAATCCATTTTCTGAAACTTACGGAAATACGCCCTACTATTTCTGATGTAATGGTGATGGATGACTACTTGCAATATCGGAGTGTATGTGTTTGAAATGTTTCCACATGACTTAGCAATGCACGCCTGCTAATCACGAGATTTGACCACCCTCCGATGCTCCGTGCCACTGGTTTTACACGCAATAATAAAACCTTGCGATGCAAGAAGCGCACAACACCTATCTGTGCAACAGACGTTTCGGAAGCGAGGATCTGTAGACCCAAAAACAAAAAAAAAAACACAAAAGTGTCTAAAAAGCTCTTCTTTTTTGCAGATTTGACGGAAGCTGATCATGCAGAACCAAACAAATGGCGGTGCCTTGCATTCCTTTGATGGTTTATTACTACACACGAAGGTTTGTGCAACGGATTTACCCTAGTTGCAGGAGCGCTGGCGTCACACAATCAAAATTATTTAACTCCCTTAGAGTAAGAACCTATGTAATGCCTCTGGCATCAAAGTAAATCACATTTTGAACAGTTTCTTGGTTCGAGGCAAGGAAAAAGTGATTAAGATTGTTGAAATTTGTACTGGTACGAATAGAGGTATTTCACATTGAGAAAAAATATTGTGATCATTGTACACAAGCAAGATATATGGTTTCCACTTTTACTGCTTGCAAGCTCTTCTTGAGCCAAACAGAATGACAACGAATTAAACACTAACAAATATCATTAAAAAAGGATAAGCAGCATGGAATACAAGGATAATAGTCAGGTCATTGCAAGACAAAAGGATAAGCAACATGGAAGAATTGATTGAGGCAAGAAATTGGTTGTTAATGGCTTAGCCTGTTAACTCCAAGCCAAATTAAATCTTATTAATGTTATGATCACCTGTCTGTTAGACGTCTAGTTTTAATTAATTTCTAACGCACCACACATTCTCATCATTGCCCAAAGTTTGGGAACACACACATACACAAGTTGTTAATGCAGTACTAAACGCAAAAAAGTATTCTTTTCTATTTCCCCACGCGTACGGAGGCAATTGCTCAGATTGTATTGTAATATACTCTTGGTGCAACTTTGACCCTTATCAGTACTGTGACTTGTAGCTACTGTAACATTTTTCCGACTATTGCCACTCTTGGATATTTCCGAAAAAGTTGATATTACGTCTTATAAAAGTTGGTTTATATCCCCACCTTTGCATAAAAAAAATTCATAGCTTGCATTTGGTATGGACCACCAACTAAAGACCACCTCTAATCAAAACGCATATGAAAAGATACCACATTAATAAAAGAGTGGAGATTACCTTTAATAATCCATCCACCTTTCAAATTAATCATTCATTTCTAGTTCCGTACGGGGATAACAATTTTGAAATCAACTAAGTTAAAGTAGGGACCCAACGACTTCTATTAAAAAAATATACACTAGTTTCATCAGAGTAAGATACAAGGTGACGATGGGCTGCGAAGTTCCCAACCTATTATATAAAACTATTTAGCATCAGTAGATCGGGTGAACCCTACGTTATCCTCCTTTTTTAAGGGGGAAAATATCTAACAAGTGATTGGCATAGCATCACACAATGTAGCAGAACTGACAAAAAAACTAACTCAAGAAAAAGGTAAAACTAGCCATACCCTCATATTAGTTAGCTGGTGCTCATCCTCATGCTGGCTCCAAGATCACCAGTGACCTGTGAAGCCTTCTCCTTGGCATCCTCGTAATTAATCCTATTCTCTTCAGTCATGGCATCCTTTGCTGACCTGTATGCCTCCTCTACTCCATGCCTAGCTTGGTCATAGGTTTCTTCAGCCGTCTTGTCTCTTCCTTCATATCCCACAGGATCAGGCAAGATATCGATGGCATCGGTGGAAGCCTTATCTGTCGCCATTCTGATAATCTTATCAACTTCATTATAGGCCTCAGCAGTTTTGTCATATCCCATGGTTTTTGACAATTTTTCCTTAGCTTCACCGGACTTGTGAGAAAAATACTCGGAAGTTCCTGAACAAATTAATCACATATGTAGTTAGGAACCTTTTGCTTTTTGGTCAGAAAAATACTTAGGAAATTTTACTTAAACAAGATGTCTCTCTCAAATAGAGAATTAGGAGGCCAGAATAAAAATACACAAAGGGCTAAAAAAAAAAAAAAACCCGATGCTGCAGATTTCATTTTCTCAGTGGCCATTGAGGCAGCATCTCCAGCTTTATTCTTTATGTTCTGAGCCGCCTGTCTTGCATTCTCCTTGTTTCTGAAAGAAGGGTTGCAAATCCGTTACCAAACTGAGAATGCTTGAGGTTCGGTCTAATATGCTATAAATGTTAACAGGATAAAGTATAGCTAAATTAATTCTGATCCACAATAAAATTTATTAAGAAATTCCAACGATAAAAGCAACCACCTTAGGAGGAAGTTCATGTAACAAATACTTGTCAAGCATAATAAAAAATTAGCAGCAATACACATGCACTGATCCAAAGCTATGACGGAAGATCACCTACATGTTTTTCCAACATGTATAGCAGGGAATTGCAAAGGATGCTTGCTTGCACACGACTATGATCACCACATCACTCTTTGCCTACTCCCAACCCCTTCTTTTCATGTTACCTCTAGCTAGAAACTAAAGGATCGATTACTCCTACAGTGTCCATAATGCCCTTGTCCAGCGTGTACACAATTATAATTGCGAATTAGAAAGGATAGGAATTGCCAAGCTATTGAATAGAACAATTCATTGAAGCATCGAACGAGGTGCCGCGGCATAGGAATATGGAAAGGGTGACGGGTACTTGAGGAAGAAAAAATAAAATTACGAGACAGAAATCGGAGAACAGGGATTGTGATTGGAAAGAGAAGGAGGGAGAACATTACAGGAGGAACTGGTCGTAAGTCCAATCAGTCATAGATTCGGCACTTTCCTTTGCATATTGCGTGGTTTCTGCGCAACCGTGCTGGACGTCCTGGGCTGTCGCTCGGGCAATGTCGGCAGCAGAGTCACCCCAGCAGCTGCACAACCCAATGCACACAGCGACCCATAGCACCAGCAGCAAGTACAACACCTGTGGGATTGCCATCGATTTTCCTCACTTTGTTCGTCGGAAAGAAGAAAGCGTTATGCCATTTGAGAATGGCGGAGAGGAACGGTGTTGAGTTATGGAGTCCCGAGATGCCAAACGGAGAGGCCACGTGGCGCTCGGGGGGAAAACGTGGCGAAATATGGAGGGGGCATGCAACGGGGCTGAGGCCACGTGTTCAATATGTGGGTAATGTACGGCCGCATGGCCCGCACCACGACCAATCCATGGCTTTAAACGGGACTGTCGTCCCCGTTTAATGTGGACCACACGTTCATTTTTGTTTCCATTGTACTGTTTTTGCCTTTTCCGGTTTTTTTTTTAATACAATTTTGCCTTTTCCGGTTTTATTATTACTTTGTTTTCGTTTTTTCTTTTCTGTTCTTGTCGTTCTGCCACAAATTTTTTTCCCCGCTGTGATCTACAACAAATTGTTTATCACTATAAATTTGATCTCGAACTTCATTTCCAGTAACGTTGTAAATGCTTAAATTTGGGACCATAATTAAGCGCGAATTTATCCAATTCGTCCCCTAGAAAAGGTTTCCAACTTCCATATGGGAGGAAACTGGGGATGACATAAATGTAATATTTGAGGTAAAAAAATTTATGTCACATTTTTAATGGAATCTTGCGGTAATCAAAATAATTTAAGGTAACGTTTAAATTGATGAATTTAAATTTTATATTTAAAATCTTGTATTTTAAATATGGCATTTGAAATCCATGTAGTAAAATCTTTTATTTGGATAATTTAAACAAATGAAAAGGAAAGATGAACTGAAATTTAAAATAAAAACCAAAAATGATAAATTCATTTCTTTCTTAATCAATAAGATATGCAAAAACATACAAGACTTATCAAAGTTTTAACAGTAAAAAACACGAAAAACAAAATGTTTAAAATGTAAAGAAAATTTGAAATTATAAAATTTTTTTAACTTGATATGGACTTGGATTTGGATTTTGAAGCCAAATCCATAATTTCTTGCATATTCAAATGAAAAATTTAATTTAAAGCCAAATCCTCATTAATCTAAATATACACACAAAAAAGGAATAATTTTAGTTGAATACTTTAAAAAATGTAACGTATTATCCACATCAAACATAGTATTTATGATACATTATCCCCCGTCTCAAACTATACATAAATATTTCATCTTTACCCTCATCTCAGGATTTACGTATCAACAATATCTCAAATATTTCAGCTTATTACACTTGTGATTGTGATAAGGAATTAAAATAAGATAATGCTATAAATTCAAAAGTTCTTAATTCTCAGAAAAACCTACTTTTCTCCATTATAAATAAATTAATCTGGTCAAAATCAAAATTATTCAATAACGATTAAAACTCAATAGACCTTTGACTCCTTTTTGGGCCAAAATTCTTATGGGCCTTTCACTCAGTTAGCAAGAAAAACACCATTAGTCCAGGCCCAGTTTCTCGCTTTCATGGCATCAAGCCTCTAGGGGATGCCTCACAGACACAGCAGTATACCTCCATTTCTACTACAAGACACTTACAAGATTCCGCACCAATTTGGGAAGGATCCCGCAAAATTTTCCGCAGGATAGACGGGGAGCGGGGCTCTACCTCTATAAATGAATCTGCTTCAGGGGTCAAGTATAGTGATGATACAACGAATTCGATGAAAGTTTTTTAAAAAAAAAAATTGTCGAAAAAGAAATCCCCGGAATTCAGACTGGAGCACGGGAGACTAAAAATTGTCAGGAAGACCGCCTTCAGCCGCCAGTTTTATACGTTGGTGATGTTCCCCGACCTTGTAATCTACCATTTCTCTAAACAACTGAGAATCCAAAGTGCAGTCTGGGCGTCCATACACGGCTGCTCGGATGCCGGAAATCAATTTGGCTATCTCACGACCTGAGAATCCCGCCGTTTTCATCGCAGCCTCCCTCAGCACATCCTCTGATATATTCTTCATGATTATTTTTTGGGCTTGTTTCCTGAGTATGGATGAGCTGCCATTGTCTTCTCCGCTCAGGTATTTGTTCAAATAGAGCTTCAGCAATTTGAAACGCTCCTCCTCCCCAGGAAGTGGGAATTCAATCACCTCGTCGATGCGGTCAGTCACCGCGCTGTCAAGGTCACCCGGTCTGTTTGTGGCAAGGACAAGCACTATGTCTCTTGACTGATCGCCAGTTCTGAAGAGCAATGCATTTAGAGCACTTCGTTGAGCTTCGCTCATGTGTGTGCTGTTGCGCCTGCATCGGGTCCACAATAAATCATCAGTAAAATGATTGCTATAGAATCCAAATATACAACCTATCATCCTGTTTGCAGATCAAATCTCCACAAATAATGGGAATGCCCCGAAAAAAAAAAAAAAAAAAACCTCCCCTCATCTTGTGGTTGGTTTGTTCACCAGTACGTTTAATGGTATCCGTGGATCAAAGTGAGGTTCATTATAGTTTGGGCCACGGGATTGGTGCCCACATCATTTCTAGGCCGTTATCAATTGAATAGAAGCACAAGATGCCATCACCAAAAATAGAGAAGCACGAGACATTAGAATAGACTGTAGTTCAACCAATTAAATTGCATGAGACAAGTCATATTTTGCATGAGAGACAAATTGTGTTAACCAATTAAATTCCGCTATTCAGCTTCAGAGAAAAAATCATTTCAGTCATAAATATTTTTCTTCCAGAATTAAGTCTCTAAATGCTGTTTAACCTCTAAAAGAACTTACTCACAAAGGAAAGCATCAGCCTCATCAATAAAAAGTAGCAAGCCTTTTCTAGATTTCTTGGCCCAATCAAATATCTCATGGATTTTGGTAACAGCCTGTGGGCCCAGGGGTGCAACATCTCCTCCAGTCATCATAGCATAATCTAAACCCTGCCCACCGAATTTGATGAAGAGTAGTCGTTAAAGAAACCTTAATTACCTCCAGATTAGTAAGAATGAAGTGGAAATGGAATATTTTAAAAAAAATTCCATTACCAGCCAACTGGAAGAAAAATCTAACTAAAGAACTACGCATAAAAGAAAAAATAAGGCCATCATACCGATTTTTTAGCAATTTCCCTTGCAACCATGGTTTTACCGGTACCAGGAGGGCCATAGAAGAGCATATTACGGAATGGTGCCTGGTGGGCCTTGGTATTTGATGTAGCCCGTGCAAGATGCTCTATTCTTCTCTGCAGTGATGGATGTAGTACCACATTTTCAAGGCCAGTTTTACTCTCAGAAAAATTTTCTGCCTTGGCCATGGTACTATAACTTAAAGCTTTATTTTTGGCTTGAGATATAATCCTTGACCCTGGAAATTTTGCAATGGATGATTCCCGGATCAATGATGGCTGCCCCAAAATCCGATTAATGTAGCCCCACGTCACTTTAGCGCCTTCTCTGTAAATTCAAAAATAAAATTAAACGCTCATATCCCATTTACAATTACAATTCTGATAGGTCACAGATTTTATAGCTTAAGACTGCAGTTTGATGCAGTGAAGAACTGTAATTGAAGAAATATATGAAGCTAATCAATTAATCATATTTCCCAATTTTAATTACACCCTCCCTCTCCTCTTCTTATCCAGGCAGTTAGTAAGGAAACCAAGAGTTGAACATCTCACACTGCACCTGCTTTACTAATCAATAAGGGGCCAACTATTCTTCCTTCTCCATCAGATTCGGAGGTTTCAGAATTTACAAACAAGAATTTGAAAATCAAGTCAAGGGATTTCAGAAAAAGTTGTCGTGGCATATTCTGGATAATGACCGTTGGATTATTTCTCATGGGCCAGAGGGGAGGACAAAAAAGTTGGGGGTGAAAGATAGGAAGTTGGAAGGATGCTGGAGGAGCCTTAAACAGTTATTTGGTGAGGGATACAGAAACACACACTTTCTGACTTTCAACTTTTCTCCAAGGCCCCAATACCCATTATAATTTCATTTAAAAGATATATTGCCGAGTTGTCCAATCACTCATTTCCCTTCCAAAAGTTGCAGTCAATCCCGCTGATTCCCCAATTTAGTTTGTAAGCATAAATGGCATTGAGAAGCATTAACATAGTCATAGTTAAAATAGGTTTATATACTTACAAACTCAGATTAATAATTAGCAAGGAGTGGATAAATCCCACAGCCAACTAATTTTCAAAATGAATTGTGATGTTAAACAAGTCAAATGGAGCAAGAAAGGTGGCATATTAACCTAGTTGTATATACTCCTGCAGCTAATGCCGTGGCCCCTCCCACAGTCATAAGCAACTTTTCCCTATCAGTCAATAAGACCCTTAAGCCACCTGCATGTTATGCTGACAAATTATAGCTATACCAATAAATTCTCAAAATGGAATAATATAGTACAGGATTTATCTTCCATCAACGAGAAGATAGTTGATAAACATACATGAAGCTAAAACCACAAACAAGTCACTTATAAGATGGAAGAATACCAATTGAACATCATTATTGATCATGAAACAAGAATTCAAGCAACCAAAAGGAACCCAACGCAAAAACAAATGACTTTCCCACAGAGAATTACGACAGAAATATCAGTTAAAATATAAAAATTGACCAGTCAGTGGCCATGACAGCAATAATTTCATGCAAGTGCAAGCATCTATCCTGCATTGCAGGGCAAGCAAAGGTATACTCAGCATATCCAACTGCAAGCATATATGCTCCTGATTTAAGATTCGACAAACGAGTGATAAACACATCAGTCTATAATGGGTTTTGTTGTGCACAAACATGAAGTCCATGTCACTAACCAACTCTTCCTAAGAAACACTCCCACCCCCCCCCAAAAAAAAAAAAACAAAAAAGATTTGCTACATTAAAGTGCATAGAAAATCTATCAACGAGGGCCAATAATCCACTATAGAGGCAAGCCAGTCAACACTCATTGTATAGACACTGATAATTTATGCATATGAAGCATATTCTAGGATATATTACATACTTTTAGACTGAATAAAAAGGGAAATTGGGAAAAGAGACACTAAGATAAATAATAATTGAAAAAACCAATAGTCACAGAATTGCCAGTTTCCGAACCACCATGCATCAGTAGATGTCCTCATCAGATGCATACCTTCAATATGACTAAAAGTTGTGTTAATTGCAGCAAGCCATTTGTCTCTTTCACCCCGCATCTGGTCTCTAAGCATTCTACTATTATGCTCCTCAGTAAGCTTGGCTTCATGGGCTCGGCCCTCTGCCTCTGCCATGGCCTTAACTCTTATGGTTTCCCTTTCTATTTCAGCTCGCTCTCTCTCCGTTTGACGCTGCTGAGCTTGAATCTGTTCTTCAGTAGCTCGCCTTGCCTGTTCCTTTCGAACTGAGGACTCCTCTTGCATCTTCACCAATTCAACATTATGTCGTCTCTGAGCTTCATGATCTGCCTGCAAACGGCAATAACAGATATTGGATGGATCTTGATTTAAAAGAATTCAATGACAGAGGAGCTTGAAATGAGTGCAGCCTTGGACATGTCAGGAAAGACCAAGGCTTATATTTCGCCTCGGGAGTTCAAAACAGAACCTACTACTACAGTTTCAAACACAAAGACACCGAGGAGAATAATCACATAAATCCTTCAAACCAATGCTTGACCAATTCCAATATTCTAAGCTGCAAAGAGAAAAAGACAATATTTTCATTGAGAAATGCATACACAAACCTACAGACCAAAGGGAAAAGAAGAAAGGCAATGAATATAACATGCACAGTCAAGCTCAGTATCTTTTTCTGCATATTTTTAATCTGCTTCCACTACAGTCAAGACTGTTATGCCATTTTAAATTTTATACCAACAGACAAGTGACAAGTAGCTTCAATCAATTAAAAAAAAAGCCAAGAATATTTATATCCTGTATTAAAAAATGAATATTTTTTCTGTTTCAGCAGCCTGTACCTGCATTCTTTTCCTGGCCAATTCATCTTCATATCGCAGCACCTGGGCCTGCCTCTGGGCCTGCTCCTGTATAAGATTTCGTTGTTCTTCAGCTAACTTCCGCTGCCTATCCTGCAGTGAAGTCACTTTGGTGTAAGTAAACATACTGCTGGAAAAGTCAGAAAATTAACACCAACAATATTTTCCCTATGTTGCATTACAAAATAATTTTTCAAGAGCAGCTGCAGCTGGGCGACTGGATCCGATGCCTATGTCTTATGTAAAGAAAAGCCACCTAACTAAATAAAACCAAGCGACTTCCAAGTTCCAAAAAGGGAGCCGCAGAAAAACAGCCGTAACACAATTACAATGGACAAATTGTAAATCAAAAGATGGGTGGGAAGTACCTTTTCTGTTCTAAGATCATTAAATATTACAACATGAGTCAGCTAGCAAAGAAAAAACAAGCCTGTGGGGAGAAAACAATAAATTTATATTCAAACAAGAAAAGTGGCAACCAAAGTTACTAAAAAGATACAGTCGCAACTAATTTATATTCACATATGTTAAAAGTTTATGCAAATTTCTGGTTCTGTAAGGCCCAGCATAACGGGCAAGAGCACATACAACATGGAGGAACCATGAACGACAAAGTAATTTATCTTCATAAATTGATTGATAACGAAATTTTGGAGACATGAGTGTCGCTTCCTAGCCCATCACTTACAATATCAACTTGAGACTGAATTAGTTCATAATGAACTTTCTCGGCATCTAACTCAGCAAGGCGAGTTTTTTCCTGCTTTCTCATTAAATCAAACACCTGGAAAGCAGAACCAAGATATTAAGCCGCAAATTTTTGACCACTTCTTTTTGTTTGTATCTGAAATCAAAACATGTCAGATAGAATTCCAATGGTAAATCAAAACCTGTTTAGAATACGGAGAAGCATTGATTTCGCGGAGAGCTTTTGCCCCTCGTTCTAACGATTCCGGGTCAAAACCGGACTTTTTGGGTTCATCAGCAGCTTGAGATTCTGACTTGGTATCAGAATCCTGATCTTCCAGGGGAGCTGAATTAGTGGACGAAGGAGAGAGAAAAGGGAACCGAAAGGAGGTCTCGGCGTAAGCCTTATTGGAGAGACTGAACATGGCAGCCACGGCCGCAGCCGTGGCAACGCATGATGATAATCTTACGGCACTCATGGCTTAGAATGTGCCTTCGAAAAGATGGTGAAAATTAAGTTGGTTCAGCAACATTGCATTTTGAACCTCAGGAGGTTAATCCCTTTGTCCCTGAACCTGAAGAGAGGATCTGTGGTGTGGCGCGAGCATAAAACCCCTGCTAGGGTTTAAACGGCAAATGGGATATGAATCATGACTGAGAAAGTTGAGCCCAGCGATGGACGAGGCCTTGTTTGCGGAGCAATTAAAAACATTTAAACGACCGTCGTTTCTCTGCCGAACAGCACCTGTCTGAAACGACTACCCGACTTGAAGTTGAACGATTTTTTTGTTAGCCTGGCCCAATCCCTTTTTGGTGTAGTCATTATTGCAAACTATTCCTGGGAGCGTTTTATAATTTATATGATTTGATATGCCGTTGAAAAAAATTCTAGATTTTAGTTTCATTAATCTCATGCCCAAAAGTACTTTTCAAACGTAATTTTTTTTTCTTTTTTAACAAAAAAGTCCATCTACAAAAATTTACAAGTCACGGAAAAGTCAATTTGAAAAAACGTGAGGGTAGCTGCTTTTATCATTTTAAAAGATAAATGTATTTTTATCATTGGAAAACCAAACACATCCATATAATCATCAAATTCTCTTTATATTCTCTCTCAATATTTTTCCTCTTATATGATTTTTTTTTGGTCAAACTCTTCATATATGATTTTGAAGCATCTATATAATCCAAGCATGAGAGAGAATTATACATTAAAAATCATATGAAAGAAGCTCATTCGGCAAAAGAATTATTTCTAGTCTGCAAACTAAGTTCTGGTTGGACAGATGGTCTTCAGTTGATTCTCCCTGTTCCTGAACTGTTTGATAGTCTAGATTGCACTGAGTGGATAAAATTTATTAGGAGCAAATAACATGAGAAGAGTATCCTAGAGCTTGATTTTTAGTTATACCTGTTAGGAAATTTGGAATTTGGGAAACAAAAAGGTCTTTGATGGCGAGAAAGCAGATTTGTGCTCGGATGGGGAAGGGTGTTGTTCAAAATCATAGCAGATAATCACCATAGGCAGCTTCACTGTCAAACCAATACTAGAGAAAAAGGTGGAGATTGGATCACTTTGCAATGGGTTTATCCTTATGAATGGTTTTATTTCTTGTGGCAGTGTGGCCTTCAACTCGGAAGGAAGATGGCTTTTTAGTTTTATCAGCAGTAAATTATCTCCTTGCCCACTGGTGATTGCCGAGATCCATGGCTTATTATAAGGCTTGCAGTACTGTTGGGTGAGAGGCTTTGTAAGATCAGAATCCATATCGACTGTGTTGAAGCAATCTACCTTCTCATAAGAGATCTTTATGTGTTCCATCCTTTTATTAATGTAATTAAAGCTACTGCTATAGTATCTTGCACAGTGACTGGCTAGTTAGCAAGGAGTCTAATAGTACAGTTGATGTCGTCTTGCTAAACATGGTTGGACTTCTTTTGCTTTTGAAATCTTTGATCAGGCGAATCATCTCTACTTCAGGTGGCAACTGATGAGAGATTTCTCTTTGTGTTTTTCTTGTAATTGTGTTATTTTTCTATTATTACTATTCAGTGTTTCATCCAAAAAAATAATCAAAACATTACCATTTCCTAAATTGATTCTTTGCTACATTTCAATTTCATGAGTAGTAGTAACTTGTTTTATTGAACCTGAAAAGAAATTTGGCTAACAATATACCGGGTATATATAATGAAATTCATGTTAATACAAAGTTTGAAAGCTGATCTTTGAATGGGATATCATCCCCCTTTCCAATCGTTTGATCAAATTGACGAGTGCCACTCCAAATCTCATGGAAAGAAGTATTGAAGAAAAGTATAAAAAAAAAAAATCTAGTTTCATTATTGTAGAACATATACAGCTGCATTGTGATGGTAGTAATATTATTGGCGATGATTCCATAATTAAAGAGATAGGTTGATTATATTGCAATTTTTGTTCACTCTGTTGAGAGAGCATTACTTGAATTTACAGATAATTCATATATTCTCTCAACTCAAGGAGAAAATTTTCTCATGTATGCTAGGTATGTACCATATACGATATAAAGTCATTGATTGGGTGGCCAAGAATGTAGGTGAGAGGATGAGCTTATTGTCATGGGGCTAGTCATGCAACCCGCACAGCACTTAAACACTTTTTATTGGAAGATGTTAAGTAAGCCTACTTTGTTGAAAAGGATGATCCTTAACTAAATTGAGGAATAAAAGTTTTGAGAGAAAAGAATGATTGAGAGAGTTGTAGGAATGTGATACTTGTATTTCTTGAGAACTTAAGGATGCTTACAAATGAGGTGGGGTGGGATATTTATAGGCTTCTCCTTGAATCTAGAAAATTCTCACCTCCTCAATTGATAACGAAGATTAAATCGATCCTATAGCTATTGTTGATTCTTTAAAATTCTATCCTAGATATTTTAAAACAAATATATAGATATTTACAAGGAATTTTCTACATCTTATCTTAAGATATTTATGCTAGAGATGTCTAGATTTTTCTAGAATTAACTTGTACTCTCTAGCTTCCTCAAGGTTAATCAAGAAGCTTTTGGAGGATTTTAGAATATTTTGAACCATCTTAACCTTTTGAAAAATCACTAATTGTGACATTCTCTCCCACACAATTTCACGACACCCTTGTCGCTTTGCCCTTCTTATAGTGATGGATGTTGTTGTTCAACTTTATATTGCTGTCATATAAGGCAGGTCCTCACATTTGCTTCAAAATTATCTTGCATATGTGGCCAATAAAAGTAATTTTATACAAGGGCAAGTATTTGTGTCATACCTAGATAGCCAGCCTATTTTGAATCATGACACTTATTAAGGACATCTCTTTAAATATTTCCCCATTTTAGAACATAAACTCGATTCTCAAAGGTGTGGAGTATCTCATCCTTCACCCAAAACCCCGAAGTTTTGCCTTTATTAGCAAGCTTCATCAAGTCACTTGCTGTTGAATTTTAAGACATATCTTCTTTGATTTTGTCAAGGAAGTCATTTTGGGGCATGCTTGCTGTGAGAGTACCCAACTCAGCTTTTTTACTCAATGCATTTGCCTCCATATTTGCTTTGCCTCGTTTGTACTCCAGCTAGTGATCAAACTCAGTGAGAAAATCTTACAAGCAAGCTTGCTTTGGGCTGAGCTTTTTCTATGTCTAAAAGTAGCTTGTAGCAACATTATCTATTATTATAGTGAACCTACTTCCAAGTAACTAGTGATGCCAGGTTCGAAAGCAATGAATGATGGTAGTCATTTCTTTCTTTGCACCATGTAACACCTCTCTGTGTCATTTAGCTTGCGGCTATCATATGCAATAAGATGTCATTCTTGCATCAGCACACCCCTATTACAAAGTTTGAGGCATTAGTATGTACCTTAAAAGGCTTGGAGTAATTGGGCAAGAACATAACAGGCTCTTACGTGACCATTTGCTTCAGCTTTTCAAAAGCATCTTAGCAATCTTATAACAATTGCTGAGATCTATTTTTCTTGAGCAAATATGTTAATGGAGCAATGATTATTAAATATCCTTTAATGAACCGATGATAGTAGTTCACCAAGCCAAAAAAATGATCTTAGCTCTTAGATCTTAGTAGGAAGCTACCATTCTTGAATAGCTTAAACCTTAGCTAAATCCATCATGAGCTTCCCATCCTTAATCTTATGCCCTAAGAAGTCTACCTCTTTTTTGGCAAAAAAACACTTTTCTAACTTAATGTATAGCTCATGGTTAGAGAGTACTTGGAAGACTTTCGTTAAGTATTGAGTATGTTCTTTGAGGATAGTGCTATACACTACAGTGTTATTAAAGTATACCATCATGAACTAACCCAAGGGATGAACATCTTGTTCATGAGTATGCAGGATATTGCTAGGGCATTTGTCAGTCCAAATGGCATGACACAGAATTTCAATGCTCAATATCTCATTAAGTAGGTTCTCTTCAGCTTATCACCTACTACAATGTGTACTTGATAATACCCAGATTGAAGATCAAGCTTAAAGAAGTACCCGACCTTTCCAAGCTAATAGAACAAGTCAATGATTAAAGGTATTGGGTACTTGTTCTTGAGTGCACATCCATAGCAATCTATCTTTCTTCTTTTGGAAGAGAATTAAAGCACTACATGGGGCCTTGGATGGTTGGATATACCCTAAATCAAAGAGATCTTGGAGTTGTCTCCTTAATTTAGCAAGCTTTGGAGGTGACATGCGATAAGGTACTAAAGTAGGTAGTTCAACACTAGGCTCCAACTCAATCTAATAGTTTACCTCTCTTCTAAAAGGTAGTTTCTTTGGCAACTTATCAAGTGTGACATGTTTATGCTCCCATAATACCTCTTGGATGCAAGGTGATAAGGCTTCTCATGAGTTAGTTATGCTATCCTCTTCCTTAACCAATGAATGTATGATGGCAACGCAGCTTTCTGAATTCTTGAGACCCCTTTTGAATTGTAAGGAAGAAATCATAGGTTTGGATTTCTCCAAGCACTTTAAAGAGATAACTTGAGCCATATTTGTGTTAATGACCACCATAGATTTGGCTTCAAGAATGGGGAAGGCATATGTTTTACAGAAGAAAGCAAGTCCCAACACAACCTTAAAATCATCCATAGGGACTATGGTGAAGTCAAACATACCTTACCAATCTTTGATCTTTACTTTTACATCCTTAGTAATCCCAAGAACTTGTTTTGTAGTAAAGTTTACTACCTTGATGTTGCCTTATCCCTAGTTGAACTAGATGCCTAATCACTTGACTTCTTCAACCTTCATAAATTTATAGCTTGCTTTAATATCAAGCATGGTAGAAGCAGACTTGCCTTCAATGGCAAGATCGACGTAGAGTAAACCCTTATCCTCCTTCTTGGTTAGAGAGAAGAGTCTAGATAATTCCCCAAATGTTGCAAGGAACCAAGGTCAACCTATTATTTTTTGTCTTGCCTTTCCTTTATCTCTACAACTAAGGCATTTATTGCTTTACAGTGGGGCAATCGTGAGTCCAATATGGACCATTATATATAAAGTATGGCTTTGGTGGCTTTGAGGGATCTTATTTGGTTGAGGATGGTTTATCCTGTTTAGAACTTCCACTAAGGATTTTATGGCTACTATTATCTTTACAATCAGAACTCTTCTTTTGTCCTCCTTTGTCTTCCCCGCTCTT